TGTGATTTTATATATTTCGAGAGTGAAATATTCTATCTTTAGTGGAAATAAAATTACTTGAAAAGATTTGGATTAAATTGTAATTACATGGAAAATGTGTTTTTTCCACCTAATTTTCTAATTTTTGCTGTTAGATTGACAATTTTTTAACGAAAAATATTTTTCTTCAAGGATGGGTGGTTTTTATTTTCCATGTAACTCTCTCTCTCTCTCTCTCTCTCTCTCACCATCTAACTACCAATAATAAATGGAAAAGTATGATTTTTTCTATGATGAAAACTAAATCTATCAAACATATTTAATTAATAAGATTCATACAAATAAGTTTTAGACAATTATAATTTTTTTTTCCATGCAAATTCTTTGCTCACAATCAAACGCACTAGAAAAGTTTTAGAATTGGTTGTAATTAAAATTAGGGTACCGCTATTTTCATATACAATTCTTATATATCTATCCCCCTCTAAGTTCATCCATATTAAAATTTTAAATTTTATAAAAAGTACTATATTCATCCACTTTTATTCCAGTAATAACCTTATTAAATTCATTCATTTAAACATATATATCCATACCATTTTTAGTTCTCCAGCCTTCAAAACCTTGTGTATTCACACCATTCTGGAGAATTGCCGCCACATGAAAGATTGCTTCGGTCCGATTGCTTCAAGATCTAAACTATCAACTTGTTGAATTTAGTCATATTGATTTGGTTTCTTACACGTACACCATGCCCCTACAGAGAAGTCAAGTGACGAATACTCTTGGGATTAATCGTATTTCGTGTATTTTTAAACACAAACTAAAAAAGAAAATTTAACATAAAACAGAGTTGAATTTAAGAGAGAAAATAAGACAATACAAAGATAAGAGAATTGTATTGAATCGTGTCATTTGTTTACAAGAGAGGCATCATATTTATAGTTTAACTTGAGAGGAATGTTTCACTTTCTAACTAATGTGGGGCTAATTAACATGTATATTGTGTGTGTGTGTGTACAGCCCCCTCAAACTCAAGGTGATAAAATGGAAACCAATTTGAGTTTGGAAACTAGATCCTGAAGGCGTCCAGAAGGGTGCGTTTTAGTGAAGATATCTGCAGTTTGATTGGTTGAAGAAATTAATAATGGTCCAATAGTTCTACGAGTGAGATGATGATGATGTATAAAGTGACAATCAATCTCAATTTGTGGGACTATTGGACTATTATCAGTTTCTCCAGCCGATCAAACTGCTGATATCTTCACTAAAACACATCCTTCGGACGCCTCAGGATTTAGTTTCCAAACTCAAGTTGGTCTCCATTTCACCTCCTTGAATTTGAGGAGGCCTGTATTGCTCACAATGATGTATTTCGTGAACACACAAAACACATTGAGATTGATTGTCACTTTTTACGTCATCATCTCACCCATGAGCTTATTGGACTATTATCAGTTTCTTTAACCGATCAAACTGCTGATATCTTCACTAAAACGTACCCTCTTGAATGCCTTTAGGATTTAGTTTCCCAACTCAAGTTGGTCTCTATTTTACCATCTTGAGTTTGAGGGAGACTGTTAATGTATATACATTAACAAACAGTACAAAACATCGTTGATATTTACAAAATATTACAACATTTCTAAGTGGCCAATACTTAAAACAAGTAAATATGCTAAAATTAATTGAGATCGAAGATGTAAATGAAAACGAGTTCATTTCCAGAATATAACTTCTGCTATTGAGCAATCTCTCTGCAGTCTCATCATAAAGTACTTCTTTCTCGAATGCTCAGATGACCAATTGAATATTGCGCTTTGCTCCTCCATATCATTCCGTTCGCGCCACGGCTCACCAATTGCACCATCACCAATGTGGCACCTTCCATTAACATTCTTTTAGAAAATTCAATTCTTGCCTCATCCTCATTCTTACTACAGGTACTTTTGTCCTGTTAGTCTTCCACCACAATCTGTTGTCAGTCCCATTGTTGCTTTCATTTATTTGTTCCTCTGTTTTGTCAACAGACGAATGCTGGCATTCTTTTAGACTTCCAATCCGTCTTCGTTGAGTATCAAGCAAAGATCAAGAAAAGGAGGTGGTGCATTCCTAGTAAGATTGCAATGCTGAGATCTCTAGGATTCCTAATATGATTGGTAGTTGCAACTCAATTGATTTGGTATTATCCACGTGTTTGGATAGAGACGAGATTCTTAGTGTTAGAGTCCTCTCAGGATGAGGAAACACATTTTCAGTAGGACTACTTTTTA